CTGGGAGGAGAGCCTTCTTACTGCCCTCTGCTATCTCTAGATTGAAATAGTCATGACATCTTGTAAAGCCTACTGCAGCTGCCTCCTCAGACTTCGCCTTCACCCATTACATGCATTCCAAGTTCTCACACTAGCGTTTCTAAATACAGGTCTGATCTTGTCTCATTTCTGTTTGTGTGCTCTAATCAGACATAGCAGTCAAGCATGTATACAATCGTATGCACATGCGTTCTACCAGCTGCAATGAACTCTGTCCATCTTAACAACCTTCACTCACCAATTCAAAAACTTCTAATGAAATCTGGGCAAGGTGGAACCACTCCTCTAATCCCAACACTTGAAAGGGTGAGGCAGGAGTCTCAAGAGTTTGAGGCTGTAGATAAGTGACTCCAAAATTCCAAACAAAAATGTCTAATGCATACAGGGGATGAACCAGGTACTATATCAGCCCCAGCAGGAATGAGCCAGGCCATTCCCATCCACCTGTTTAAAGCCTCACTAGAGAGAAGAGTTGGTGTGAGACACAGTCACGTAAACAGAAAAGCATGATGACACAGATAAAAGTATATACATGTTGTACAGTGATTGTGAGAGACTAGGCGTTAGACAGATCCCTGATGGCAGACAGATAGAGAGAAGGGTCACAATAAAACGATAATAAAAATGACAAAAGTAGAATTTCTTCCTAGAACTGCTGACCTGAGACAAAGGCCTGGTTGCTTAGGGCTCCCTGCCTGTGGACCAGTATGACAAGTTCAAGGCCGGGACCAGGACATGTTTACCCCAAAGTTGTGGGCTTATTCGATTCCTTGTCTTTGTTTAAAATGGCCAACCTTTAAATTAGGAGAGGACTATCTCTCAAAGACCTTAGACTACCCCCCACAAAGACCTTAAACTGCCCCCTCAAAAAAGGGCCAGATTTGGGACTCCCAAGTCCCCTCCCCCACTCCCCACCCTACCCACGCCCATCCCTACCCCACATGGCAGAGTACCTTTCTCTCTGTGTGCCCTACTGTAGTGTATGTGTTTCCTCGCTCCTAATAAAGTCTTTCTTTTTTGGTTGATTCTGTCTGCTATGTCTGAGATTTCCCATGGCACTACCTGTTGCTCTCAAGATTTTTTTTTTTCTGACTTAACTTTTTTTTAACTGTCAGAGAAGAAGAACCCAAGCAAGACCCCTGGATGATAACAATTGCATCAACTAATGTAGAGCCACACAGAAGGAAGGAATTCCTCCTAAACTGGCCAGCTCTAAGAAAACTACTAGGAATGTGATGCCTAAACAGATACCACAACATACGTGAGCGTACATGGTACCAAAGGATAACTTGAAAGACATACAACGACACAGCACAAAAAAAAAGTTTTCCAGCCATCTTAAAGCACTGGAAGTTTAGGGACTATGACTAGCTAAGCAGTAGAACATGAACCTAGCTCTTAAGAGTCCCTGGGTTCCACTCCAGCACTTCAAAATAATAGTAATAGTAATAACAACAACAATGGTAACAATACTAATGATGTATTTATAGTTTACTTTAAAGGGATCAAATTGCTTAGAGGAGTGATGATATAATACACTCTGTATTTAAACTGAGTGCTGCCATTTATAGAAGTTACTAGCGGCATCTGTTGAGCACACACATAGGCAACTGGTAGTGGCATAATAGAAATCTTGCGGGTCGTCAGAAAAGAGAGAAATTGTGGACTACATGATTTTAGGACAAGATTAGGCTTTTCTAAGATGTTTATTTTGGTTGGAGAACTCAAGGGAAAGCAGGTCTTTCTAGTTGGGGACTGGAAGGTGCAGGGGCAATACTGAGCGAAAGCATACAGAAACTCACACAAGTGTGCATAGCTCAGTTCAGTGGGAGTCGTGTCTAGAGAGGAAGTGGGCAGAAGGGAAGCAGGCCCTGGAATGCTAGGTTCAGGATTTGGACCTCATTAGTGAAAAGGAGTTTATGGAAGGTTATTCAAAGACAGAGTACCACATTGCTTTAGGAAGACGGTTTATAAACTCAAATAGTCTAAAAATGGACACCATACCTAAGAATAGGCTACCTGAAGGCAATAGGGATGTGGAAGAAAAACATCTGACGCGGGAGATGGCTGCAAGACTCATGGGAAAAGAGCTGGGGAAAGGAAGCCCAGGCACAGAGGGACAGTGTGAAGCAGAGGTCCTAGGGCCACCTAGCGTCTATCAATCAAGTGTTTGGAGGTGTTCCTAGAGCTAGGGCCACCTAGCGTCTATCAAGTGTTTGGAGGTGTTCCTAGGGCTAGCCTAGTAATGCAGAAAATGAGGATTTCCCTTTAGTCAAGCTGTTTAACCAGTGTCCACAAGGGAGAATATTGATATGAGGTTCCTGAAGAGAAGAAATGAAGGGAAAAGAAGGAAGGGAAAGCAACATGGGAACGAGCAGAGATAGATCCATCATTCCTAGATATTCTGACCTCTGGGTCTCCCTTGTGTACTGCAAGCCTCTCCCTGGATAAATCAGTCCCTACATCACTCAAGGGACACTCCAGAGCCATCTGGCTATCAAGGCCCTCTTTGTCACACAGCTTGGGTTGCTCTCCTAATCAACTCTTTTTTTATCCTCATTAGCCATTAAAAAGCAAAGTTGTAAACTGAATTGTTTTACTGCCTCCACTATGAATGCAAGTCATTTCTGTCTCTCAAAGTAGCAAGGTAACCCTCTAGTCCCACCCCCACCCACCACCTACAAAAAAACTTCCAAATTTATCAAACAAACCTGCCACATTCAATAGTCCATTACCCGAGAGAAGCTGATTCAACTGCTATCAAAGCTCTCGGCCAAGAGTACAATTTTCTTGGCAGACCCTGTAGAAGATTCAGAAATTTCTGGCCCATGGAAACTGTCTACTTTCTCAGACTCTTTCAAAGTCAGATAACTTAATTTCTCATAATACACTTTGCATTGTTCTGCTCGGTGGTGGACAGAGAACTGAAGTTGCATTCTTTTGAGTACGAAGATGTTAAAGGTCCTGAATTTCACTAGGGCACATCTAAGTGCCTTGGCAAGTCTATCTACCAATTACCAGTGACTTAATGGATTCTTCTAGATTAGCATTGTTATCATTCCACCAATGATTGCTGTTTTCATTGAAACTTCACAGAACTGCGAATAGATATTTGTTAAGCCTGATTAGTGCGGGAGTTTCTCTCGGCTTCTCAGTGTTTCCAAGCTAATTATGGGCTTCTTCCTGTCTCTTTTTGATGCTCATAATGGGAGTTTACATGCAAACTTGACAGAGAAAATAAAGTTATCAACATACAATTTACCTACTGAGACACCCTACCAGCTTATAAACTAAGAATTGTATTGCTAGTAGATTTTCCCAAATAGTTTAGGTATACCCTCTACTATCTTTGCAAGGGTAGCTTGGGGTCTTTGGCCCCTTTAAAATTCCCCTCCAGACACTGCCAGATAAGGCTATCCTTTAAGTCAGCATAGTATGCGACCAACAGATACAGTTCAAGTCCAGTCCCTAAACTTCATTCCAAGCAAATGACCACACCTACCCAGAATCTAGTCAGCTGTTGTTTTTTTTTTTTTGCTTTAAAAAAAGATAATACGGTTAGCCCAGAAAACACCTACAATGGTATATGCTTTATTTCAAAATATGTCATCAAAATATGTGGACATCTTAGTCTTTGCAATATGCAATTTCTCAAACATTGAGTGAAATATAAAAACATGCAAGAAATGGAACCAGAGACCATTTATGTTTAAAAATTCTGCATAAGGGCATCATAAAATCCTTTTAGGTCAAAGAAAGACCGTATGTCACAGCATCAGAAAACCCTGTATCTTGAGTTATATACATTTTAACTGATGGAATACATTACCAACAGAAACAAAATCACAGGGCTGGGGCTATAGCTAGTAGCAGAACACTTGACTTGTATGCTGGGCACAATATGTCTAATTCTAATCCCTAGGAAGGAAGGAAGGAATGGAGGGAGGGATGGAGGGAGGGAGGGAAGGAGGGAGGGAGGGAGGGAGGGAGAAGCCAAACTAACAACAGTACTGATGAACGTCCAGGAATTGATTGTAGTAAAATTTCCTTAATTATAGTCAAAGATCAGGCTCATTGGAAAACTCCATGTTTCCAAAAGCAGACTTTGTAGAAGGTAGAATTTCCCAAAATAGAAGGCGTTCTGGCCTACCAGCACCACCCCGAGATGATCAAGGATGTCGGCTGAAGCATTGTTTTAGCTGCCCCCTCCCTTGCCTTACAGTGCAGGGGAATAGAACTCTGGACCTCCATCACCAAGCCATAGGCCCATCCCTGAGACAAGTGTGATTTTTAATTACTTTCTGAAGCTCAAGCCCGTCCTCAAATCCAAGGCTGAGAAACGTGTGTTTTGTTATTTTGAATGAATTCTAGACTAAAACACGTTACATGACAAGGCAATGACTAGAGATGAACTCTAATCCCAGCCTGCCACCAACCGAGTCACCAACCACGCTGTGATCTGCGTTTAAGATGTCCTCAGTTTCCCCATCTGTACGGTGTGCCATTTCAGCTATGAGGGCCTTACGCAATATACACAAAAGCACTTTTTAAGTGGGAGTGGTCACTCACCCCGAAGGTGATAAGGACCGCATGTGACAGGTTCCTTCTGCTGACTGTGGAAGTTAAGTAAATGGCTCTCTTTCCGCAAGATTGAAAAGTACCATTCTTTCCTAAGACACACGTCTTGGGATGGCTTCCCTCCCTCGACTACTTCATAAACCTTTCTATCAACTTTTCTATAGACCAGCAAGCCTCTAGTGGCTCAGCTTATCATTCTGGTCGCTGGATCCCAGATCTGCCTAGTTCCAGATCCCTGGTGAATCAAATGTCATTCATCAGTTACCGCCTCAAACTTAAAAAAGAAAGAAAGAAACTTCACGAAATCCCTTCTCTGGCGCTTCTGCCTTCTAGAAAAGGCTGCTCTGGGGATGGAAATCGTGGACCACGGGGCCGCCCCTTACCTGGTTGAAGTGCAGCTGTCCCAGCTCCAGCGCTCCCTGGTGGGGTGCAGCCCCCAACCGCTCCAACAGGCGCCTCAGCTGCGTGGCCGACAGGCTCCGGTTGGCGCCGAACACGCTCAACACGTCCTCGCTGAACGCTAGCTCCGGCTCCTCCGCAGGGTGTCCCAGGCCGGTGGCCGCCAGGAGCAACAACCCGGCCACTGCCCGGCCGGGAGTCATCGCGGAACGCGTGGAGCGCGCAGCAGCAGAGCTGCCGGATGCAGAGACCCGCGCGGGTGTCCTGGTGTCAGCGCCCTTGGGGTGGGAGGGCTGCCGGTCCCGCGTCACTGCCTGGCCCAGTTAGCGAGACACTCGGTGCCCCCGTCCTCTGCAGCCTCAGACCTTCAGGGCATTGAAGAGCTAGCACAGCCAGGAGGCGATAGGCAGCGTGGCCCCTCCGGGCCTCCTGCGGAGCCTAAGATAAAAGGAACAAAGGGGGACAGAGATAAAGGCCACCGGGTCAGCAGCCTGCAGGCCCCAGAGCACTGCGTGGTCAGAGTCTCGAACTCCAAGCCGGGCGTGGGGCCAGCTGCCCCGAGCTTGGTTTGCTGAGGCCCCAGGATTTGCTTACAATGTGGTGACACTCGCTTGTCCCGGATATAAAGCCCCAACCGCGCCACACTTCGGAGAACTAAATCCTCTCTGACTGTGCAACCCCAACACCTCTTCCTGTCCCGAGGCTTTATTTTCCCGCGACAGACGTGGAAGGATAGCGACTGTTTACCTCCCCTCTCCCCCGAGGAGCTGCAGAGAAACACGCCTGCGGGGTTCTGAGGTTCCCACGTCTGCGCAGGACCCTCTCTCTACTGGACTTGGCAAGCTGATAGGAAGGGGACAGTAGCTTCTCACCTCTCGTGTCTATGTCGGACTCTGAGGTTCAAAATATAATATATATTCTCTCTCTCTCTCTCTCTCTCTCTCTCTCTCTCTCTCTCTCTCTCTCTCTCTCTCTCTCTCTCTCTCTCTCTCTCTCTCTCTCTCTCTCTCTCTCTCTCTCTCTCTCTCTCTCTGTATCTCCCCTCTATCTCTGGGAAACTCTGGGATCCTGCCCTGCACCCTTTAGAGATAAGAGGGGGAGGGGGAGGGTGCTGTCCCCGCCTCTGCAGCACGTGGTGTCACGGTTGCCTAGGCTGAGCTGCCGAGTGTGTCCACGCAGGGGCGCAGAGCCTAGGCGCTCACCTCTTGTTGAGGCATCCCAGGCGCAGTGGTGCCTGCTACCCTCCCTGGGACCCACCTCCAGGATGGGGTCCCTAACCCCCTTTCTGGTGTCAGGTCCCACTTTTTTTGTTACCTCCAAGGAGTCAGCTTCCTGGAACGGAGTCTAGAGCCCCTTGCATTGTCTAAGAAATTAACAGGAATTGGCTTTTTGCCTCACTTCTTAAACTCAGAGAAGAAAGAGGAAACCGAATCAGTCGCATGTTGGTGGGCTAGCTGAGCCAGCATGGTCCTTGCCAGCCCTTCCTGACGCCGCTCGGGATATCCGCAGATCACAAGGAATGTTTATTTGTTCCGATGAAGGTTCAAGAAAAGCTGACTTGGGTGTGAGGTCAACAAGTTTGTGTAAAGTGAATGTGGTGTTTGGGGACAAAGGTTACATCCGGTGGATGAAACGATCCAGAAATAAAGAAATAAAGTGAAACCCGCTTGGCTGTCAGACGGCTTAAAAAGAATTCAAAGCACTCTTCACGCCTTTCAGAGCGGGTGTGCTTTGCCCTCTGAAGAACAGCAAGTTCAAAAGCAGACGCACAGCTAACCGAAGAGCGAGGAGGTGGAAGGGAAAAAAAACTATTACTCATAAGAAATTCGGGCGCCCTGCCCCCGTGAGTGTGTATGGGAGGAGGGAAAATTGCCCCACGATGGGGACCTAGGTGAGAACAACTACAGGACTGTCCAGGGAAGCAAGGCAGGGGTCGCGAGCTGTCTCACAGCGGGGCATCAGGCAGCTGTACCAGGGCAGTTGCCAGGAGGAGGTTTTCTGCATAAGTGTGGCAAACGTTAATGTGGAGAGCAATTTCTGCAGGACTGGGAGCAATTCAGATCAACAGATCCCGGGTGAGCACTCACATATACATGACACAAAAAGGCCTGCCTGGAAAGGCCTTGGACTAAACGATCTTGAAGATGGATTCTTTCCAACTTAAAAAAAAAAAGCTATCCGTTTGTTGGTATTAATTTACAGAATGGCACCAATGTCCGAGGGCAAACTTCTCACCTAGGGACCGAAAGTAAGTTGATAGCACAAAGGAACTCTTACATGATCCAGCTTTCTTAGCTGACAGTCTCTTCAAGCTTTTGATGGAGTTTTTTGCTTGGGTGACTAGCAAGTGGCCTCTGCACATGAATGGATGCTTTAAAAGGCGGGCCTCCATCCAATAAGATGTCCCTTTCTTCCTGGCGATGTATCCACAACTAACTTTGTGGATACAGTGTGTGCTGAGCTGTTTGGTTAGGGGACAAGTGCAATGGATAGACTTTCAATAATACAAATGTTACACTGTGGATTACTTTAGATAATTTATTTGGCAGTCACTGATGTCCATGTACGTATTTGCCAGTCAATCAAACCCTATAAAATAGTAAAATAAATAACAAGCTGCTTGAAAATTTAAGTACAGTTCATACTCATAAAATTGCAAGTTAACAAATAATTAGGACTAATTTCTAATTCTCCTACCCTAATAAATTATCATCATCATAGAGCTACTCGGATTCTGTTTGGCACCCTGAAGGTGGCATTTTATCAGCAATATAATTAGTAATGAAAAAGGCTACCAGTTTAAAACATGAGGTACAATCTACAAAATACATTTTTGTTTTTAGACTTGTACTTTGAAGTTCAAATAGTTTTAAAAGATAAAAACAGGAGTATCAATTCTCTCATCTAGAAACAAGATAATTAGCAAAGCTAAGAACCCAGACTTTTTGTTTCTAAGTATCTCATTTAAAAGTTACTTAGAATATTAAATAGAGAACACTAAGAAGAGAATTAAAAATTTAATTCTGCAATTGAAAGAACAGCTGGTGTCAATTATTAGAGGTTTTTTGTTTGTTTGTTTGTTTTGTTTTTTAAGACAGGGTCTCATATAGGGCAGACTGGCCTCACACTCACTGTGTATGTAGCTGAAAATGACCTTGAATTCTGGTCCCCCTGCCTCTACCTCCTAATGCCAGGGCTTTAAGCCTGTGCCTCCTTCCACTCCTGGTGATGGTGGGGCTCAAACCTAAGTCTTATGCTAGGCAAACACTCTACCAATTGAGCTATATCCCCAGCCCACTTTTTCTTAATAACTCCAAATTTTTCTCAGCTCAAATCCTTTGTTACTGTAGCACATGTGGAGAAAAATTTCATCTTTGACCTGTGGGTCTCTCCGTGGAAACACTAGGAACTCTGAAGCAGTGCTTCTCAACCTTCCTAATACCGAGACCCTTTAATACAGGTCCTCCTGTTGTGCTGACCTCTGACCATAACGTTATTTACATTGCTACCATTATGAATCATAATGAAAGCATTTTTGTAGATGGGGATTTTCCGTAGGTTCTTGACCTACAGGTTAAGAAATGTACATCCCTGTTTACTTGCCTCCTCTTCCCTCCTGTTTGCTTACCTCCCTTTCCTCCCAAGGAAATAACAAATAACACCTGCATGGAGAGCATCTGTGGCGGCATGGCAGAGCTTCACTAAGGGAGAAGGGCCTGGACCAGAGTCTAAACAAGACATGAATGTGTCTAAGTAGAGGAAGAGACAGACAAAGTCACACTGTATTCCTAATGAGTCAAGGCCATACGCATGCACACAAGCAGGCCGTGAGATGCAAAGATGATGCAGAAAGCATCCTTCTCAGTGTACTTTGCCAGAGCCCACCTGGAAGAGGAGGGTAACCAAGCAAAGCAGTGGCCTAGTGTAGCCTGCAGAGCCCAAACATAACGGGAGAAAAAATATCCATGGGTCTGGAAGAGAAAGAGAGACAGTCAGAATGGCAAGTTAGAGCCTCATGTAAGCAAATTCACGAATTAAAAGTATGACTACGTTCTATGTCATCTGCTGATACACTCACTGTCCAAGAAGGTACTTGCAAATATAGAGGGGGTGGGAACTAGACTGAACTAGTAGTTTGGAGCTAAAGTTGAGATATCAGTGTTAACTGCTGGTTTCTAGTATTGAAACGGGCAGATAGAGGTATCATTGTAATTAGCTCCTGCCTTCTCCATTGAGAGGGCCTGGAAACAGTAATATGCAGGAGTACAACTAGAGCGCCAAGCTTGATTTCTAAGTACTTTTCTCCCCCATGTGGAACCAGGGCTACTTGTGGAAATGGATGGTTTCCAGGCTATGAAGGCTAAAAAAGAAAGATGAATCTGGAACATCTTCTTGTGCTTTAACTCCTGGAAATGAGCATGCTCGAATAATGCAAGAAATCTACATTAAATCATCGCAGGTGCCAAGGCAGGCTCGTCATTTCACATAATTCCATGGAAGGAGAAAGGCTTTCGTTGTCCTTATATAATTTTATGAGTGTCTTCAATTTTAAAAAGCAAAACGTTGAGAGCCGGGTGGTGGTGGTGCACGCCTTTAATCCCAGCACTCAGGAGGCAGAGGCAGGCAGATCTCTGTGAGTTCGAGACCAGCCTAGTCTACAAGAGCTAGTCCAGGACAGCCTCCAATGCTACAGAGCAACCCTGTCTCAAAAAAAAAAAGTAAAACATATACAATAAGGAAGGGGGAAATTTCCTGCAACAAATTACATTGGAAGTAAGACTAAAATTTTGTTAAAATCTTAACTTAATAATCTTCAATGAAGCTAATTTAATTAATACATATTTTCAGCATGTGTATCAGGATCTGTGTTATTTCAGACAAGAGTGACCAGAGGTCCCTCAGATGTTGCTTGTGGTGGAGAGTTTTGCCCAAGATACACTGAGACTACAGTATCCATTGAGACTACAGTATCCATTGAGACTACAGTATCCATTCCCAGCACCAGCTGGTTAAAGGTTAGAAATGAAAAGTGTGCTCTAATGGAGACTATAAAGGTCACAATGTAGCCTTGCATGAGCAACAGCATGTGTTCATCCCCAGAACTACCAGGAAGAAAGAAAGAAAGGAAGAAAGGAAGGTTTCAGTGAACAAAATAGGGCCGCCTATGTCTGTGGATGATTGTAAGCAAATAATTAACAGGGCAGGTAACCCTTGAGCTTAAAGCACAGGTAAAACTTTGACAAAAAGACAAGAAGTGGATAGACGTTGTAAGAAGTCCTAGGAGACCAAGAACTGCAATGGCTTTCTTGTCTGCCGATGGAGGATAGAGGTGAGATCTGAATCAGGGGAGCCTCTAGTTTCCATTGGATGGAAGATGCTGGTTGTACACAGAGCATTCTTTATGATTGCCTTCAGATAAACCAAAGTCTTCACATTAGAGGTACTGACATGCATCTGTCATCCTAGAACTCAGGAGTAGAGGCAGGAAGATCAGAAGTCCAAGGCCAGCCTGCCTACATAAAAACATATTTCTTAGTATCAAGAAGCAGTTCCTTAATGTTAAAAATATACCACACCCAAAATGCTCAAATAAGATACAGTTATGACTACAGGTCATCCAAGCTTGTCAACTCATCCATCAATGCGAGAGATTACACAAATATCAGATTTTTGCAAGAGCTCTGTAAACTTACTTCTTGATTTACGAAA